GTGAGCCCATCCAAGCCATGAGCAGTTCGTTTGTCCAGGAGATGCTGTGGGAGGTGGTGTCCAGGGCTTTACTAATGTCTAGTTGGCCTATGCCCACAGCCTTTCCCACTTACAACTTACTTGTTCTTGTCAAATTGTTTTGTTTATGTTTTAAAATGTGGTGATTTCTTGAGAATAGGGGTTTTTTTTCCTTGATTTAGTGCTGTGCTCTTGATTTTTGGAAAAGGCTAAAAGTAACTGTGCTGTTGAAGCTTTCACATTGAGACCGCAGTAAATGAGTTTTAGTTCCCTGTGCTCCTCCTAGTCCAGTACAGGTTGTGCAAAGCTCTGTCTTGTGTGTGGCTGCACGTGAATCAAGCCACACGTACCAGAAAATAAAACATGAGCCCTAATTCCTGAACCCTGGTGTCTTTCCTGGATCTGACCTGGATTGTCGCTGTTTCTGCTTTTCTCATTAGGGACTGTTTGCACGCCGGCGCCAGCTGTTGCTCACAGAAGGGCCCCACCTCTATTACGTGGATCCTGTCAACAAAGTTCTGAAAGGAGAAATTCCCTGGTCTTTAGAGCTGCGGCCAGAAGCCAAGAATTTTAAGACATTTTTTGTTCACACAGTAAGTGACTTTCTTTCATTTCTCTGAGTTGCACCAAGGTCTTTGGACAATTGTTGTATGCTCTTAACAAATTGGTCTGGAGAAAATGTTTATGGAATTATACAAGTGTTGGTAGCCTTAAGAAAACCATGAAACCCAAAAAACCCCAAACCAAACAAGAGAAACCCCATGACATGCACATTTACCACAAAAGTGCAAATGTATTTTTACTGTTTGTGTGTAAATGAACTCTTAAGTGGATTTGGGGATTTGAAGAATTTCTTAGGGACTCTCAAATTATCCCTCTGGTTTGTAGGGGATGTGTTGGAGTGCACCAGCAACACGTTGCCAGTTGGCTGCTTCAGGACGTTGTGCTGCCGGGTGTGGGGTTACGCGGTGCCGCGTAACGTTATGACCCGCAGTCAGGTCTGGCTTGGGCAGGTTTCTGGACTGATACCAAAGAGCTGTTTTAGTGGTAGGTGCTTTTCAGTTAAACTGTGCTTGGAGTGCTCATCAAACGTTGTTCGCTTGCAGCCAAACAGGACATATTACCTGATGGACCCGAGTGGGAATGCGCACAAATGGTGCAAAAAGATCCATGAAGTCTGGCGGCACAGATACCACCAGAACGCTGCGAAATAGTAAAGCGCATCCAAAATGTCCCAGTTTCCCTACTTGCTGCTAGAACTCCGTGTGCAGCCTATCCGAGGAGTCTTTACAGCCCACCCGTTGCCATCTCAAGGGAAGCGTATGTCTGGAATGGTCTGTGTTGGGGTTTTTTAAGGAAAGAAAAAAGAAAAGCAAAAACCGAATGGAATTCAGGGTTGCTTTGCTCGCTCTTTGTGCTTCTGTTGAGGCTTCCACATGCATATCATCGCCGTGAAGATCTTGCTTTTGTGCACTTCAGCTCAATTTCTGCTGCAGACCAGCGGACAGACCTTGCGTTACCAGTCTCACTTCAGAGGAGTGTGAACCAGCCCACGTGCACACGCCGAATCCCGCACCAGCCTTGCGGTTCAGGGGGCTGGAGTTTTCTGTCACTTGATCATTAAACTCTGTTTCATCAGGGAGCTTTCATACACCTCTTCTGAGCACCCCCCTTTGTTCTCTCCCCCTTTGCTCGCAGTCCCAGCCCATGGGGATGCGGCGCCTGGAGCCAGTCGCACCCTCGGGCGACTCCTAGCGCGGCTCTGGCCGCGGGGCTTACGTGGTACTTCCGTGACTGTGAGCGATTCGGCTGGACACGGCAGACAGGCTCCGGTGACCCAGGTCTGGAGAGGGGAGCGTGCCGAGCATGGCTCTGACAGTTTCCTCCAGTTGAAGTGTTGGCCTCGGGAGCACGTGAGATTTTACATGTCCCGTTTAAATCTTAAGGAATCGTGTGTGTTCAGTCCAGGGACAGTGAACTTACCAGCGTGCTCTTAACGACTGCCCACTAAAACATTAACTAGGGAGTGTGGGGGAAAGGTTACTACTGAAGCAGTGAATGTTTCTTCCCCGCTCCGGGAGATGATGCCAGGAGCTTTCTTTCCAGGGTGTGCGTGTGCTGTGCGTTTTCGTGGGGCAGCCTGTTGCCTGGGCAGACGAGAAAGTGGGGAAGCTTTGTACAACTGATTACTTGACTTTTTTTGTCTCATTGCATAATGAGGTGTACAAATAATCCTATTTTTGGTATTTGGCCGAATATTTAGCAACTCTGAAAAAAATTAGTCAATTAAAATATTAAATCTGTGAAGTAGTCTGGTTAAAAGTTCAAAGGAAAATATTGATACGGAGGGGAAGATCTATGGTACTTCAGGCATATCTAGAAGATGAAAATATTTTTCATATCGATCTCCTTTATTGTCTTCAAATTAAGGCTTTTTTGTGGTCAAACATTTCTTGTAACATTGCAAGGACATCGCTTCCTGTGTGCTAAACCCAGCTTTCCCGATGGTCTTTTCAACATGCCTGTGTTCCTGAACCTTGCAGAGAGGAGTGACCTGGCCCTGGACAGAGGTGTTCCTGCCCTGCTTTAAAGGCAGTGTAAGCATCACACCTGCTCAGTCACCTTCCACACATACCCTCTCTTTGCAGTCTGAGGTCTGGTACTGTGACGTGCTTTTCCTTCCCCCCGCGCTGCTGGAAAGCTCGTGGGTACTGTTCTAGCAGCACATCTGTAAAAGCAGTGGCTTAGCAGGATTTCTCAGAAAACACATGAATGTTGGGTATTTTGGCGTTTCGCGGGCTGAAGGAGATTTATTATTGATCTCTTACTGTAGTTCTCTACGTGTAGAACACGTAGTTGATCGTGATGGCAGTTCAGTTTTTCCAGTACCTTTTAGCCTTCGAAGGAGAGAGTGCAGCTGCCTTTTCTTTTGGAGGAACTACATTCTCTCAGTCTCCCATTACCCCACCACGTACACAGACCTGAGGAAGCAGATCACTGGCTTACGGCGCCTGTGTCCAGGGAGCGAAGTTTCCTGTAACAGCTGAGGTGACAAGGACAGAACAGCACCCCCTTTGCATCATGAGAAATTCCATGTCACTGGAACGCGAGTAGCGCGGTACGCCTGCCTGCCCCGAGTTTACCATTCCAGCCAAGAGGACGTGCACTGTAGGTTGGTTGTGGTGCCGAATTTCAGATATACGTTGGGTCCACTGGAGGCACTGCTCTTGGATTTCATCTTTGCTGTAGAGGTGTGGATGGATTCCCAACTTGGTATATGCAAGCTTGGCAGAGACAGAGATTCCTGGTGCCACTGCTGTGCAGTGTGACAAAACTTGGTCTCGCTGAAAAAGCCTGGTGTGGTTGTGAACACCTCAGCTCTGTTGGGAGACAGTGATCTCCGTTCGCTTGGTGAAAACCTGGGAGTGCTTAAACGTGTTTGCTGTAATACTTAGACTTGTAGTCATTTTGCCATAGCAAAGTAATTGCTCTGCTTTTTCACACCCTGAAAATCCTCTCTGACTTCCATCCTGCCCACCAAAAGCTTTCAGCCAAGGAGATCTCCGTAGCCGTAAGCTGTCAAGTGCCCGGAAGGCCGGCGTCTGCATCCTGGTCTTCCCTTTCTCTGTCAACAGTGCTGTCACAGAAAATGGTGAGCGTCTCACAGGCATCCTGCCCTTAGAACTTGTGTTCCAAATCGAGGCTTCCTCACCTGCTGTTTTTTTGGGAAGGGACTAGGACTTTTCTGGGAGAGGCATTTGTCTTGGACTGCAGGTGAAATAGGTGGCTTGGAAAGATGGCAGAAGAGCAGGGCGAGGCGAAGCAGCAATCCTGGATTTCAGTGCATTTCACTGGTTTGTCCAGGGAAGAGCATGCTGGCAGGTGCTGCACACAGCGAGGAGCTGGTTCCTGTTCCAGCGCAGGCACCGCAAGTGGGGCAGCTCCACATCCTTGTCCTGAACATCACTCCAGTGGTTCATGGGAGTCGTGGAATGAAACGCACGGTGGGGGTTCCTCAGAGCTGCGGATAAGCCACTTCATCTGGCTGCTCTCTGCCCGAGCTCAGTCTAAGCACAGAATGGGTTGTCAGGCACCTGGAGACGCCTCGCTGCAAACCCACTTGTGGGTTGATTTATTCCATCTTTTGCATCTTGAGAAATTGCCAACCATTTCTAAAAAATCGGGTCAGTGATGTCGTAATTGTTTCACTTGGGATTTGAACTTTCCAAACTTGCATTTGTGTGTTTTCTGTGAGGTGGAGCCTACAGGATGGAGTGCTACTGCTAGGAAGGATTCTTGCCTCACTGCTCTGCTCAGTGTCCAGCCCAGTCACAGGAAGTTTCAAGCTGCAGGATAAACTGGAAAGCTGAGTTTATTGCCATTGGCCCTGAAGCCCAGTTTTGGGAAGGATTTATAGTGAGGAAGACTTGCTCCAGGTGCGACGCCGGCAGTGTGAGCAGACTGGTATTACTACTCAGGCTCGGTTGCAAAGTGCTTAGATCCTGCAGACGTCCGGCCGTCAGACAGTGCCGTGTCCCGCCCCCCTTCTGCTGGCATGACGTAGCTGTGGGGTATCTCCTGTGTGTAAGCCTGGAAAAACTGTAGGTTGAAACAAGGGTGTGACAATTGTAATCCATTTTCATTGTTCAAGATGCTCAATTTAATGTGCTCAATGTCCTTATGTTTCGTGCTGGGAGCTCTGAAGAATCCTGAGGATTTCCTACACGTCCGTTCAGCAGCTGCTTTTGAACGAGGTAGTAAACTCAACTTAAATCCTTCCCTCGGCCCGTGGACAGAACTTCTGATTTCCGCCCCCTGCTGAGGAGAGACCTGAGTGAACAGTGGCCTGGAGATACAGCCTGTGGCTTCTGATCTAGCTTTCCGCTACTGAATTAGGAGAGTAGGTGTGGTCTTTATATCTGAAATTTTGCCGAATGCCTGTAACTTACCAAATATTTTCGTAACGGAGCGAAGCGCTCCTGCAGAGCTTCACGTCACAGGTGGTGCGTCAGCTGATCAGTGAGCTTACAGGTGGGGAGTTCTCTGAGCCGGAGGCATGCTTTCAGTTACAAGACTGGTAGCTGAATGTTCCCTCTCGGGGAAACGGCTTCACGCAGTGCGCACTTGGAGAGGTTCCTTGGCACGCGCTGAGCTGGTCGGTCGGTCAGCGTGGCGGTGTCCATGGCTGCCCTGCGGCAGAGCTTCCTCCACCTGTCCGCGAACCGACGGTGGCAGATGCTCTGAGTTGTGGCAGAACGTAAAATGACCGTCACTGAGAAAAGAAGAAGCGTCGGCACCGGGAAGCCTCAGCTGTGGTAGCTGCGCGCGGTTGGCAGGTCAGCGGCCGTTGCGTGTGTGGCGTTCTCTACCTGGTCTGTAGCTGTGTCTGTGGTGTACGGAGAGAAGCAGGAACACAACCCAACGAAAAACTGCACCTCCCCTCAGCAACCGCCCCGAAACAATCTCCCCTCCTCCAAGAACTCATGAACCCAGAAGCAAATCATGCGACGGTGGACGACACGCTCTTGTATCTTTGCTCTTCTGAGGCTGTTGCCGGCTCTCGGTGGCCTCTCGTTCCGTCTGTGTTATTTAAATTCTAATATATGAATTATTTGGATCGGATTCATGTTCGGGGCCATGGTGTTGTATGTATTGATGTACAGCCTTGAATGTGAATAATTATTGTAAACTATATTTTACACCTTTTTTCTGGCTTTATTATATAAATTTTCTATCGGTCGATGATTTAATCATATCTCATAATTTAATGACTGTTTATTCTCCTCTCGCCAGATCTGTGCTGTAGATGTGTAGTTAGTGACTGGGTGATGGGTCTCACTGATGCTTGGTAGTCTGTAATAAAGGCACGTAGGGTCCTGGCCCGGCCTCGCCTCTCCTTCCGCCGCGGGGGGAGTCGGGGGGCGGGA